AAGACACACCACTGACGATAATACGACACGTGTTTCGCCTCTACACGAGGCATCCTCAGGTGATATAGACTCTACGGTGGCTAACCGCTAAGATTATCAGTGGTGTGTCTTGCCTAGTGTAGTGGTGTTGGGAGTAGCGGTGCTGGGATTAGTGGTGACGGGGATAGTGCACGCAATTGAGGGAGGGCGGGAGGTGCTTCTTCATACTAGGTAAGACACATCATTTTATTTTATAACGCGGATATTTGCGATGTAAATTTTTGTAAAAGCTTTTATATAATGGATTTCCGCAAAGTAACGCCTGATTCTATTAATTATAAAAAAATAATTATCGAAATCGGTTCACCCAGAAAAAAGTTATGGGGCAACACAAATAAAGAAATCCTGTTTGAAATCGGTAGAAAAAAAAGGATTATAAAATCTCATGATTATGATCAGGTTAGACATATGTTACTAAGTCAGTTCATGATACGCATGCGATTTTATTTTCTTTACATTTTTATTTCGTATTCGTACGTCATTAAACATGTATTTTTGGTATTAACCAACGATACAACAACACGTTAACGTGAACTTGTCATATAAAGGCGGCTCTTCACGTTAGCCAACATACTGGCGAATGTGTTGGTCAATAACGATGGCCATCGTGTAGAGCGGGTGTTTATGCTTACGTTGGTATGTATTGGAATGATGGCCCACAAGTTCGCGCGAGATTCATGTGGTGTCGGTTTTTTTACAAAAGATCAAAGGGTTTTGGCAGAATATTGTTCGCCGCGACCACATGTTGGCGTTGAGCGCACGTTCAGTTTGCTACGAGCTCCAAGAGTGATCGCACGCACCTGATTTAAATTTTATATGCACGCATCGTAACTAGTGTCTACGAAATCGCAGTAACAATGACTAATTGAAAAACTTTTCGCTTTATAGATCTCTAACAAGCTGAAAATTGTTTGTGTAACACAAGTCTTTCAAGTCATTTGTAAAAAAAAACGTTACCCGGTGAAGGCAGTTTACAAACATAAATTGCATAAGGACAAACATCCAGACCCGGAGCAATTATTTGCAGGCCATACAAATACTTGTTCCGTGCGGGATTCGAACCCCCAGCCCCCAGCGTAGCAACTCATTGCTAAGGCGCTACGCCACGGAGCCGTCAAGAAATAAAATTTCTTTTTTTATATTTCTTTTTGATCACCCTTTTCTTATACACCACATTCACGTTGTAGTGGTATGCTGTGAATAAATAAACTGCAGCAGCCGTTAGCGCCTCAATAATCATTCTAATAAATTCGTCCGTACATTGGCCTGAACCGTAGCAAACTGAACGACCTACCAACGTGTGGACGCGATCAAAAATTCTTGGCCAATATCTCTGCCAACACATTCGCCACTATGTTGGCCAACGTGAAGAGCCGCCATAACAGGTAATGCCATATTATGTTAATATTTTTCTAATATTTATTTTCTTTGGAGATTTATTACATGAACTATAGTTCCTTGTTTAATGTATACATATTTCTCTTATTTTTCTATATTTACACAGTTTCACGGTCGTGTAATTATTTTATATTTATTTTTATTTAGTATATATGTATGGCTCGTATCACTGCCACATTTTAAACATTTTTCTTTAATTCTTGGTTAACCTTTTTATTTTATTCTTTTATTATTTGTTGATTAGCCTTAAACACTATAACATTCACGCAGACGTCTCACGTACAACATGATGAAGTATATAGGTGGGCTACAATAATAATGCGTTTTGCATTTAACATGACATCATATTATATGTACTTTTTATCCCTTCCAAAACCTTGCTCTCTATGAAAAGTTCTCCTTGACTTCTTAGCATTTCTATGATACTCGGTTGCGCATTCGACTATCAGTGAAAAAGCTAATTATCAACGATAACCTAACTTTACCTGTTAACATTCCGACATTTATACATTGCTGAAATAAGTTAATATTTCAATTTACTCTAATCAATGTGTTTAAAACACTGAATTTATTTTTATTTGTCAACTCTTTCAATAAATTATACGATCCTTGCCATTCAAAACAAAACTTTAAGAATCTTAACCTGTCTCATCCCATTACTAAAATAAAAGAAAATTGTTTTTTCTTTACGTATTAATAAAGATATTTGTTTCTTAATACTTGTTGAAATTAACTTGTTTATTCATTTTTTGATAAAAATCCATAAATATCAATTATATTTAAAATGAAGGTAAATAAAGTCATTAAAGAATATTAATGTTCAAAAATATTCGCTGATCAATGAAATTGGAAACTGCAGCGCGGGCGATTCATGTTAGTTACATAATTATATGAATGCCATTCCCATATACGCTTTTGGAATCTTTTGCTATATGAGATTCAGTTATAAGTTTAACAAACAATCTGTTATTTAGAACTATTTGAAAGTATTTTAATTGAACGATTTATAATAATATTTTTTGTTTTCACACCTTTGTTTATGGCAAATACTTGTATTATTTTATAAATAATTGTGTAAACCTCTACTTAATATACTAAATATACTTTGATTTACATGAGTATATATTGATATTTTATTTAAAAGTGAAATTATTGCAAATTTTTTTTTATTTGTTTATTTTTCATTAAATAATATGTCAAGTTGGTAATTAACAATACGTAAACTCAATCTGCATTTAATCCCATCCTTCCACCTTAAAAAAATAATTGGTTATTAGGTTTTCCAAACTCACAGCTGATCAAGCTGATTGTATGTGGATATGCTAACCTCCGATAATGTTTACTATCTATGTCACTACTTTTACCTATATATTATTTTTATCAATATTTTCATTTATAATACGTATTCTGAACTTAGCCATAAATTTTCTCACGTCTTTTACAAATTTATACGATATACCTAGTCTCTTATATCATTTAGATCATAATTTTCAATCAGAGAATGAGGCTCACAATTGTAAACATAATAGGAGTTTCAAAATCGTTACAAAGGAATTATTTTCATGTACTACATAAATAATTTAGATATTAGAACTATTTTCTCGGAAAACAATAAATTATAAAATTTAAAAGCATATGATTTGAAAGTACAATCGAAAAAAAAATTACACTTCATATTAAGACGAACAGAACAAAGCAGTCAATGTTAAGCAACCTAATCATTAACATTTTTTATAATGGAGGGGGCGACGCACGAGCATGCGGCTCACCTGATGGTAAGTGACAGAAAAATTGACGCCGGCAAATTATTTCATATTTTTGGAACAAATTTCCTTATCGCACTTTTCTTTTTGATGGATGGGGCTAGGCGAGAAAAATTGTAAGATTTTTCCGTCCTTTCTATAGTGCGAGCGAGATGGAATAATATCCATCGCCCTCGCACTTTTTCTTATCTTGCCATGAAATAAATTTTATTTTACTACCGCCGCCTATGAACAACTGCAACACCAGGGGAATTGTAGATGCGTTTCCGGCTTTTTAAAAAGGAGTATGCTCTTTTCTTGAAGGTTCCTAAGTCGTATCGGTCCGGAAAAATCGCTGGTGGTAATCGATTCTACAAGGAAGTTGTGCGAGGAAGAAAACATCTTCTAAATCGCATAGTGGTGGACCGCCAATCATCCAGACGGTATGGTTGGTATCGCAAGTTTTATCTCGATGTGCGATGGTGAAATTGAGTGGCTGGAATTAATCCGAACAATTCCTCAGAGCTCTCCCCGTGGTAGATGCGATAAAATACGCAAAGAGATGCAATATATCTTCGCAGCGGCTGTAAATCGAGCCGATCGGAAAGGGCTCGGTCGTCAACGATTCGAGTCGCTCTGCGCTGGATGCGGTCAAGTGGAAGGAGCTGGCACTGGGGAGCCAAAAATGGAAACAGTAGTCCATGTAAGGCTGAACCTGCACCTCGTAAAGTTGCAGCAGCAGGCGGTGTGCCGGCATGAAATACGTCGTGCTCTGCTGGGCACGCAAAGCTTTTTAGAGGCCAATTTGGCCTTCTCTTCCAAGTGACCACAAAACTGCACGTCACTCGATATTTCGAAGCCGAGGATTCCGATACTGGCTGAGGCAACAAGGGGAATGCCTTGAAACTGAGGAGATACGACAAAGGGGGTTTTTTAGCGGTAAACTTGCAAACTCGTGTCTTCTGAGGATTAAACTGGACAAGATTTAGTCGCCCCCGATCCGACACTTTGTTCAGCAAAGACTCGACTTCGGACTCAAGTTTCTTCTGGTACTCGGCGACTTTTTCCCGAGAAATATTGGCACGGCCGGTGTATAGAGCCAGTGTATCACCAGTGCTGTCATCCGCATAGCAATGAATGTTACCGGTTTGCAAAATATCATTGATATGCAGAAGAAAAAGTGTTGGTGATAGCACGCAGCCTTGTGGAACACCAGCGTTAATAGGTTGTAATCGGAGCATGCATCGACTACTACGACCTTGATGCTCCGATCTGCAAGAAAACTAAAAAAAATTGCGCAATTTCTCTGGAAGCCCACAGGAAGGTTCAGAACATACAGACAAAAGTCATGGTTTTTCATTCCTTTTCTTTTAATGACCTAATACCTATACATTTAAATATTATTATAATTTTTCATACCTTTAAATAATAGTGACGTTGATTTTCTCTACAAAGTACAAAACAAAGTCGCTTCCTGCCGTCTGTATTATTAGATCTTTAAAACTACGCAACGGATTTTGATTGAATTTTTTGTGTGTGTTTGAATGGGTTCCTAGATGTTTTAGATTCAGAATTTGGACCTGTAAGGTAATCAGGAAGACGCTGCTGCCCTTCTCCTGTTTCATTACCTTCTGTCCCCTCTTACGAAACGCACGGGACGCCGTTGGGTAGTGGATATTCTGACACTGTCACTACGCGGTAAGTTATTTACTGCCATGAAACCTTGTGGGATTTCTATACCTACTTTAATAGTAATAAGTAGGTAGATAAATAAAACACCAATTAACATACTTATTTATTATTAAATTACGATAATTTAAATTATCCACGTCTAAGATAGTGGTCCTCAGGGAGACGCTGTACTTTAATGGCCTCATCCAAACATGTACGTAAAGGTTTTTTAGTTTTGACGGCATTTGCCATAGCCTCATGGATTGTGCTTGATTCAGTTGTTTGTAAATCTTTAGCTAGACCAAGTGCCGCCCATACTCGTATAAATGCCGTAGAACAGCCGGAATCTGAGGAAAAGATATTTATATAAGCTGGAAATTTTAGACAAAAGACTTAGTTGAAGTTAAACGTTTAAATTGTTGGATAAATTAATGTCTGGATTTCTCCGCTTGGTCCATTACCACTCGCAGCTTTTATGAGTATATGTGTTAAACCTAAGTTTTATTTTATACATCGAAACATCTCAATATTGTTTGTGACCTTTAAGTTTTAGATCATCTTATCGAGCAGTTTGAAACATCCTCTTCAACTCGTACTGCCGGCAACTTTCAGTAAACCATATCCTATTATAAGAAGTTTAGTAAGCAATAACGTTATAAATGAATGCATTCTAGTGTTAGAAAAATATTAAAATAATTTCATAACCTTGTTACGGAATTGAAAGGGTATTATTCAATTTATTAATGTTAATTAAATTAAATTGTCTGTATTATCAAAATAACTGCTCTGTGGGCTATTATCATGCTGTTGATATATAAATAAATATTTTTAAAATGTTTGTCTGTCTGTGTTAGAATAGACTGCCCAATCTTTTTTTATACGATAAGGGTGACAAACGAGCACACAGTTCACCTGATGGTAAGTGAAAAAGTAATCTATCCTCGATAACGAATCAGAATGCAGATGTGTTGTCACAAATAAGGACTAAGATCAGGGGCGTAGCTACCGCCGTATCAGCTGTATCAATGATATTGGGCCCCCGGGCTACAGAGGCTCCGAACGTATGTAAGCAAAAATTCTAAGGACTTCTATGGGACAGGATGTTGGTTTGAATTGTTTGACTAGCTTAGTTCCTAGGAGTATTAATTGTAAGTAATAAATTATAACCAATATATAATTATTTTAATTCAATGCGAGAGTTTTTGTTCCTTTTGTGAAAAATCTTTACCCTTCATTTGGGCCCTCCGACAAATTTTGATACAGGGCACTCTAAGGCACGCTACTCCACTGACTAAGATTGAATGCCTCGTTTCCAGTAATAATAATATCTTAATAAAAAACTGAAAACACGCTTTTGTAGATAACCGAACTAAAAAGTAGAAAATAAAAAAAATACATCATTGGCAACAATGTAGTTTTCAAATTTTTTATATATACTATACAAGAATGTATAATTAATCGATTTGTATATATCGAATATTGATTTGCTATTTCTCAGTTAATATAAATTATGATATAAAATACTATTAGTTAGTAGTAACACTTTATTATTAGTAAACTAGCTATGTTCGCGGCTTCGTTCGCATAGAATCATTGTTAGTAATTCATTTGTTTTGAATTTTTATTACTTTGTGTCGAATTGATTATATTTTACTACTCTACTGTTCTAACTGAGCAGTAATAGTATTATAGATATTTTTATACTTATAAAGAGTAATTTCAAATCGTAGTTAAAGCAAAATTTATTGAAGGAATGGTACCGTATCTTCGGTGTTTAAGTCATTCATGCACTTGATCGGTTGTGTGATGAAATTACTCTTTATAAGTATAAAAATATCTGTCGGAGCGTCTATAAAATACCCGGTTGGATCTAGGTAGAATGGAGGGTATATTGAGAAACCCCCTCTTGTGTCTGTAGTATAAAGTTCACTGTGGGTGCCGTGCGCGAGAGATTCCGCTTAAGTCATTCAGCGAGTGAGATCATTCTACTAGTGCTAAGATAGTGTCGTGGTTCTGTTCGTTGTTGTAATTATTCTATGCAGGCATGGAGGATTGGTGTTGCTGAGAGGCTGCCCTGTGTTACATTGAGATAAGTAGTGTTGCTGTTCGTTTACATATTTTGGTGTTATCATGTAATTACGTACCTCACGTTACACTGGTGTGTGATTGTGGCGGAGACGTGTTACGGTGTGGTCGAACTGTAATTGCTCTGTACTTAATGTATAGTGCGTTGTCTTACTACTGATAATGATTAATTGCGTAAGCACGAGAGCAAGTTGAACATCCGTTCTCACACTTTTATTATTTTTAACAGTTAACGCTATCCTGATGTATTTCCGAGATCAAAATTGGAATCGTCTGTTGTATGGAATCTCCGACATCAGAAGTGGGATCTCTTGTTGTAATTTCCGAGAGATATATATATCATTCATCATCACCATTACAGCCCTTCACAAGTCCACTGCTGAACATAGGCTCCCCCAAGGAATGCCACAAAGCACGGTCCTGAGCCCCCTGCATCCATAGACTTCCTGCATATTTTACCAGGTTGTCACTCCATCTAGTCGGGGGACGCCCTACACTTCGCCTGCCGGTACGAGGCTGCCACTCGAGAACCTTTTTTCCCCATCGGTTTTCGGTTCTTCGATCTATATATATATACTTTGTGATGGAAATACTTTATTACGCAGTAGGATTACTTATCTATCGATAGAACCGTTTGGGTTTACTTCAGCAGTGCGCTCTTTGTTGTATTACTGTGTGAAGGCTATGAGAACCATGGTATTATTCATAATTACAGGCTGTAAGGCATTTTATTTTAGTTCTCCGGGAAGAGAATTAATCTATAGCCTATTTACCTGACTGCCTCGGAAGGATGTTTTCCGAGTCTATTTTTGTATGTCTATTTCTTTGGCACGCTCTGTAGCCTAAACGGCATTATGGATTTTAACATATTGGTTTAATGACGACTTATTTTCCGACTTGTTGTGAAAGTAACATAGATATGACATAGAATACAGTATACAGTGTTTCCTATTATCTCTGTCTCCTTTTTGTGCGGTGCTTCGTAGTCTCCTTACTCTTTTTTTCTTTTCTGAAGGTTTCACTTCAACCGCATGTGGACTGCACACGTTTTCTTTCTATTACAATTTAAACATTGGGTTTGTTGCCTGTTGTATGAATTTGATTGCATATCATTTGAGGGTTTCAGTAGCTACTTATCATCAGGTGAGCCTGTTAGATCGTTAGTCATTTTAATAATCAAAATTAATGGACACTCACCGTATGTTCCATACTCTCCTGATTTGTAGTCACGTGGATAAAGGTAGTGATAATGTGGCCAATAGGATCGATTAACAAAGAACACTAAGTTGGAGTCTGGCGGGTTCCTGCAAAAATGATTAAATATTTTAACCCGTGAACTACAATATGTCTATTTATAAAAATCAATTGCTGTCCGTTAGTTTCGCTAAAACTCAAAAACGGCTCGACTGATTTTGATGAAATTTTTTGCGTGTAATTAATTGAATGGGTCCGTAGATGGCTTTTGTCGAGAATCCGAAATCACCCGTGCGAAGCCGGGGCGGATCACTAGTATATTATATATTGTAAACAGTTATATCATAGTTTACTATCATATTTATAGATACATATACAAAGAGTAGTCGCCCAATGAGTTATGGAGAAGACTACGTACGGAGTTTCTTCGTGTGGTAGTTCATAATTAGGGTATCCGTAGTATTCCTTGGAGGATTCCTATGTTTAGCAGTGGAGTGGCTGTAATAATGACAATGAAGCCAGTTAGTATTTATATTTTCGAAGCTTTAAATTAACAACCCTGCGCACATATCTCGTGTATCGTGGATTAGGTTACAAATTGATTAACAAAAACACTACCTATATGCAAAAAAAATTTTGTGCTTATACAAATTCCAGCTCCGCGCAAAATCCGAACTCGCCACATTAATCACTGCACTGCAGAAGCGAATAAAAATGCATAGTTTAGAAGTTTCCAAAACAGAAGGCGAGTATTCTGGTTACTAACTTTTCTCCTTGTTTGAGGCCCCAGATGCAAAAACCGCTCTCGATCAGCCAAGCGGCATGCAGAACAAGAGCGTATCGCAAAATTCCGATGACGAAAACGGCGCTCAGTACTGAGTCATTCCAATATTCGAGCGGCGCGTTTAGGGGCAGCAAGAGGAATAAAACTCCATACAGTAACCAGTAGAAGCTGAAACACAAGTCTTATATAATTTGCATTTAGTTTTTAATTAACTTCAAAAACGAAAGTCATCAATTAGAACGTATTTTCTTAACAATATAATAATTGCCATTAGGCGGGGCAGTTATAGAATGCACCACTTCATATCGTCCCGTGGGTGTAGAAAACCAAAATAGTGTAGTTGGCCAAAGGAATGGCTAGAAAGGCTGGGCCTCCGTTAGATGACACTTCATTAGCTCCTACAAATAAAATTTCCAAACCAGCGACGGGGAGAAGATCAAAGGTGTGCGGCATCTAGTACTGCGAGCCTCAGTCCGCCTGCCAAGCGTAATCGTGCCTGCCTCACACTATTTTCGAATGGTCTTCGTCTAAGCATTAAATAAATAATAGTTAAAAAGAAATAAAAACACACGCTTTTGTAGATAAACGCACTAAAAAGTACGAAATAATTTTCAATAAGTTTAAAATAAGAAAATAGTGATTAACAAAAAAATTCACTTTATTGTAAAAAAGCGTGAGGTGCTTGATGTCACTTGTTGTAAATATTTTTGTGGATATTTGTAAAATTAGCGTAAGTATAAAAATATCTAGAGTGAAGTGGCAGAAATCGTAATTGTTTTATGAATTATCCTGGCAAAGATAATGGGATAAACTATTTAAATTATTGCGTTGTCATCGGTCCTTGATAAGTGTGCGAAGTTTCAAATCAATCCGAAGTTTTGAAGGGGATGAAAATCACATTCGACAATTCCGTTACTATACCAAGCTAATAAAAGCGTGTCAAAAAGGTATTGGAAATTAAAAGGCTAATATAAAATTAAAAGGCTAATATAAAATTAAAAGGCTAATATAAAATTAAAAGGCTAATATAAAATTAAAAGGCTAATATAAAATTAAAAGGCTAATATAAAATTAAAAGGCTAATATAAAATTAAAAGGCTAATATAAAATTAAAAGGCTAATATAAAATTAAAAGGCTAATATAAAATTAAAAGGCTAATATAAAATTAAAAGCCTAATATAAAATGTTGTTGAAAACATAACATTATTTTAAGACTACAAAGTGGATGCTTACTTCTTTTGGAACATTACGATGGAATCTTTTTCAATGTCGGACATATCTATCTGATCCTTTAGTCTCTCTTGGTAAGGACTAAGTTTTCTTAGTCGCGTCAGAATGTGGGAATACAGGAAGCCCTTTCTATGATCGTATGGGTCAAGATCTGTATTGAAAAGTGAGTGATGTAGTCTATGATATTGTACCCAGTGGTATATTGAGCCCTGAAAAAAGATATATAACTGGTATATAACTCTGTAAACTCCTTAAAAAGTTGCGATAAAGCTTTTATAATTTACTAGATCTAGGTATAATAAAGTTAGAATCGAAACCATGGCGCATTAAAATTAGAATCTTTTTTATAGAATAAGGGTACAAACGAGCACACAGTCCACCTAATGGTAAGTGGATGCTGTGACCAATAGACATCTACATTTATCCTCGATTAAGAATCAAAATACAGATGCGCTGTCACCTCTGAGGTTTAAGATGGAATGCCTCGTTTCCAGTAAAAAGGGTCTCTGGTTCTCTACACTCACCATACGAAACACAGCAGCATTAAGGTGACACTAGTCGACATTATTTCCATAGAAATTTCGGAGGGGTTTTACTCCGCTGTTTGACAGTGTACATCCAAAATTAAACATGATATCGTTTTGTCTCATTATTAAATTTGTCTGTACGGAAACAGAATAGTAAAATAAAATGTTATTAAAAAGTTACGAGCTACCAAAGATTCGTTTTTATTGCCAATTTTAACACAACTTTGGGCGTAAATTAGTAATAAAAGAAGTGTAAAATTTCCAAAACAAAGTCGGTACCGACACAGGTAAATTATCGAAGAACTCAATAAATTTTATTTGTAATTGATTAATGCAGTGGTTTTTTCATAAAACCCCTTCTTCCAAAGGCCTTTTCGTATTTTTTTACGCGCGCATGTTACTCTGAATTATCGTGCATCTCACTGAATAATGTCTCCCCCGGTGCGGTGCGGGAGGACGATGCTTACACACACATGCACAGGCGGTGACGCGCGCTTATAAGTATTCGAGTTTTATTCGAAACGAAAAGTTTTGCTATTTTGTAATTTGGACGCCAAAGACAAAAGACGGCATGGAAATTGATATAATTGAAAGAGATGATGCGTTTTGGACGACAGACAATATTTTAAAATTTTCGTCTGTAATATAATATAATTATAAAAGTAAAAAAAGTAAAGTCTATATTCGATTACTATATAAAATTGCAACAATTTCATTGGTGCCGACGGGGATCGAACCCGGGTTGCTCGCGTAATGTGATACTTACAGCGAGCGCTAACCATCTGAGCTACCACGGCTCTCAATGCAAGTGTTATAAATAAATAAAGAATTACAAAACAGTTTAATTATTTATTAGACGACTTTTGCGGCGGATAAACAAAGTATATTATGTGGGATTTTCATAGGTACCTACTGTTATTACCTAGATACCTACAATCAACAATACAACAAAATGTCACAAAACCTCGCCGCGTCGTGACCACAAAATTGTAAACTTTAGATAGGTACGTCGGTACTAAGAAAACAATCTTGATGGGTCACTTGTCTTGATAAAAACCTGTGTTTACGTTTAGTGATATTGAGTATATATAAAAAAATAAGAAGCCAGGTAAGTAAGTATTTTTGAAAACAATTTATAGGTATGCAGACCAATTACGATTATTATCTAAATATTATAAATGCGAAAGTTTGGATATTTGGATGGACGGATGAATGGATGTATGTTACTCAATCACGCCAGAACGGCTGAAGGGATCTGGATGATATTTTGCTCAGTAGTCCGGAATTTTTTTTTTGCAAAAAAACGTTACCCCACACTAGGATTTTCTCCTGTATCGTGGAGGCAGTTTACAAACATCCAGACCCGGAACAATTATTTGTAGACCATACAAATACTTGTTCGATTGATACGAACCCGCGGCTCCCAGTACAACAATTCATTGCTAAGCCACTGCGCCATGGAGCTGCCAAATATCATATATGATACCGTTTATTCAGGTATTTCGTTGCCGTGGGATAATTATCGAGTTACACACGTTCGAAGCCGAACTCTTGAGTGATTGCTGCATGACCACTCGGGGAAAACTAAACATAATAAAATAAGCAATCTATATTAGGTATATAGAGCCACAGACGTATACCTAATAATTTCGTGGATCACCCGCGTCATCACGTGTCCGAGATGCGTGGCATGACATGACACCTAGTTCAAGCATTTTATAATTGCAATCAAATATTTTATTTCATTAGTATGGAAAAATTGTCATGATTAATGGAGTACTTTTATTTTATCTGTCGGCATATTATGCGCGGTTTTTTCCAGTTTTAAAGAAAAACGTACACGATACATGAAAAGTGTGTAGGCAAGAAATGATTCTTGATAAATTTGCTATCAACCTCTTATACTTATTAATTAATTAAATTTAAACTTTCAAAATACCATAGCAACGTGAAATGAAAGAGTTCAAAAATAAAGATGTAACTAATCATTGCTACGCTCACCCGGGAGATAGATAAAAGTACTCAATTAATTTTGAATTTATTTTAGCTACTAGCTGTACCCCGCGACTTCGTCCGCGTTTAGTTTAGGGCGTTAATATTGTTGCAAAGACACCTAATAATTTTTCTAAAATTTAAGCAGGCTAAGTTACTTCTTATAACATGAGCTATCTACTAGTGAAAGTCCCGCCCAAGTCGGTCCAGCCGTTTTGGAAATTAACCGCAACAAACAGACTGACAGACATACAAAAATGTTAAAAATTGTGTTAATGTTATAAGTACCGTATACAGTTTCATACGCAATTAGTAAAAAGCTGTTATTTTGACATTACAAACAGACACTTCAATTTTATTTATTTGTGTATATATAGATAACGATTGAACTAACGGCTAACCTAACCTCGCTCATAGAAGCTTTCAATACTGGCTTCTCAGTTCGCACCGGGCTAGGGGTTATGCGTTGTTTGCGCGTCAAGCCAAGTAGGTATTGAATTATTTTAATTTTACATTATCTCTTAAACTATGTACTATATAAACATGGTATAAAGAACGAAGTTTATCTTCATAAAATTGTCTTGATAATGAAGTAGCTTTGGTTCGTAAGGTGCCTAATAATTAAATTTTCATTTTTTTTGTCACAAAATGCCTAATTGTGGCTTATATATAAGAAATAGTCATATGGTATCGCGGACTTTTTTTAGACGGAGTAAAGATCTATATTTTTCTAGAACATTGTATTTACGTATCTCGAACCATAACAGCGCTTTTTCTTCTGACTTCCTTACTGAGATATATAGCCTAATGCTGTATAGCCTATACTATTCAACATGAATCTGGCTATAATATCCAAAAAAAGATTTTTCAAATCGGACTGGTAGTTCCAGAGATTAGCACGTTTAAACAAACAAAAACCCTCTTCTGCTTTATTATATTAGTATAGATGTTGCATCGTGTTCGTGTAACTTCGTTTTTATTCTAACGGTTCGGAACACCGTACGAACAAGAAATGCGTGAATACTAGTGTCGATATGCTCATCACTGATACTATCTCTGTCGGGCACGATGCCAGGTGAGACAGCGTGCTTTTTGGCCGCGCCCACCAGCGAGTTCGAGCCCGCGACTTGTGCCACCTTAAGCTGCTATTTTACGCTGGTATTCTGTAAGAGCGTGGTACTTTCCCGGTCGAGCCGACCCATTCGTGATACAATCACAATATATCTGCAGCTTGGGTCTACCACGTAAAAAATAATTGTAATATTTAAAATAATAAGCTTATGTAATAGAACTGAGTATGGCATCATCATCATTACAATGTTTCACAAGTCCACTGTCAAACATAGGCCTCCCAAAAGGAATGGAACGAAACACGGTTCTTACCCAACTGCAGCTATTAACTTCCTGCGTCTCTTATCAGGTCGTAACCGACAAAGCCCAACGGATCATTAAGCTGAAATGTCATATACGGATCAGTAAAATCCGTCGATAATAAGATCAGTAAGTCATATAACTTGAAGAACCTATGATCAAGAAAAAATCTCGACTGGTAGCCCCGTACTGGTAAGCGAAGTGAAGGGTGGCCCTCTACTAGTTAGAGCGTATAATGTCACCTATCAGAGGCTACAAGACGTTCATGAAACTTTTTACAAACTATTCGTACAACACTTATCTAAGGTTGACCTACACACAAGGGTGCAGTGTCAAGGATTTGGCGAGGCCATGTCGGGCACTGAAGTTCTCCACTGGCACTGACATTGAAGAGTATGAATAAGTTCATATAAAATTAAATACCGATATATTTTAAACCCTTGATGAAATACATTCCTGACACTGCACTGATATGTGTGCACTGTAGATCGACTTTTAAAGGACGAGATGGGCTGATGGATTTCTTACATCATAACACAGAAACTATTAAATATATTTATATTTCATACCTGTCCAACTAATGTCTGCATAAGCATTAAAACGAAGCGTAATTCTTTGCTAGCAGTGTACGTGCGATGTGCCCACAGACGATGCGCTCCCACATTTACTCCTAACGTGGCAAACGACGTAAGGGCGACAACTGAAACGAACGATGTTAAAAGAATTCTATCAGGAATGGTTAGTAAAAATATAAAAAATGGTGGTAATTCTTTCAAATATTTTCTTCTCCAATTAGGAGAGCTATCTCACGTATTAAAACATTTTCGTTGATTATGTGGCTTGTGAGAGGTAATACGGCAAACACTTTCTTCAAATAATTTAAATTTAAAAATTTTGTTCAGCCGACTTCAATATGAGCTATTAAGAATAATTAATAGAATCAGGCGTTATAAAATAAAATGATGTGTCTTACCTAGTATGAAGAGCACCTCCCGCCCTCCCTCAATTGCGTGCACTATCCCCGTCACCACTAATCCCAGCACCGCTACTCCCAACACCACTACACTAGGCAAGACACCACTGACGATAATACTAATATTATCGTTTTTTAAAAACTCATCATTTTATTTTATAACGCGGATATTTGCGAAGTAAATTTTTCTAAAAGCTTTTATATTAAGAATAACTCAAAAACTATTGGTCTGACCTTGATCAAATTCATATGAGACCACACGAGAAGTACCAGCTTTCAAATAAAACAAGAATCATCGAAATCGGTTCACCCAGTAAAAAGTTATGAGGTAACACACATAAAAAAAAACATACAGTCTAATTGAGTACCGTCTCCTTTTTGGAAGTCGGCAGATAACAACCTCACCGGGGAACATGAAGACCCTGCTGCTTGACGGACGAAGTTCCAAATATCCAACTAAAATATTGATCCCAAATTTCAGTGACTGGTGAAAAGCGGCGCCAAAGCAATTACCGATGCTCTCTGCGATGCTCGATGGCTCCGTGTTTAACAACCTGCCTTACCAGCGTGGTGATTTGGGAAATCATGTTGAGCAGTAGACTTAAAAGGCTGTTGATGTGTAGCATGTGTGCAGATAAAACTTATTCTTGTTTATGACCATATTAATATTACTAGGAACTGCTTATGCCCTCAGTTACTACGGTGTAACAATGCAAACGTAATAATGTAAATGGTGTCCCCACTCACTATATAATAATGCATTCAGAGTTAACCTTTGCCGGATATATACAATCTGAATCTGATACAAATCAATATTTTTAGTGTCTTATAAGCACCAAACAGTGCCTTCCCACGAATTGCGAAAATAAATAATTTTCCCGTCATGACGAATCATCTCATAACTGTGTGAAAGAACATTTATTTTTTTGCTTACAGTTTTCGGTTTCCAAATTTGACATATATCTATGATCTATGAGTTTTAACGAAACGCTATTATTGACTCATGGCTATGACATGTCATCGCATATTAAGTCCTAAGTAAGGTGGTGTAAACGAATCGACTTACCCCTATCATCCCGTGGGTGTTGTAAGAGGCGATAAAGAGAAACTGAAACAAGACATGGGCGGCACTATTTCCATAATAACAACTCTAAATAATAAAAAAAAAAAACTGCGCTTTCCAAAAAGACGAGTTTGCGTGACTTGGCCATAGTGTGAACAGAGCGTTAGGAGTAGAGCCGTATATTTTTTTTGTAAAAGTAGCGATGACAGAGTTCACCTGATCGTAAATAATTTATCCTCGACTAAGAATTAAAATATAGATGAGTTTTCACCCCTGAGGAGCTTTGATACGAGTAAAAAGGATCATCTTTAATACATTATGCAACATAAAAACACTAACTCTGAAAGAAAAAATAAATAAATTGAGTTTATTTGACATCAAAGTATATATTGTAATACATGCATTTTTACTTCCCCTTACTCAATGGAATGATTTAGTGTTAATTTTTTGTTGTATTTTTATTTAAAAAGTAAAGTTACAACCTATTTATACGTTCCACTACTGGGCACAGGCTTCCTCTAATTTCTGATAAGAGTTTTAAGGGCAAGAAAATATCTGCCGCTCTTTTCTAACGCGTGTGGTGAACTTCACTTGTCTTCGATTTATTTTTAATTTAGATTAGATATTCAGTTTTTTTTTACGATGTCGGCGAGCGCTTAGCCCCAGCGCCACTGAGCTACCATGGATCGATATGTTGGTGTATTCGATATAATTTGTGCCATTCTTATGATATTGTAAGTATCGTTAAGGCATATAATAAATAACAGAAGCAAGTTAAGGGTAGCGATTAAGGAATGCTCAGGGAATTTTATGGTATTTGATAGATAGCGAGAAAACATTTCGTATACAGTATAAACAATGTCAAATTTTCAAGTTAAAGATGTGAAACAGTACCTTGATTATGGCAAATCCTCTCAACCATGGACAAGGCCATACAATGGTTTGTTACAAGAGTCGTCACGAGTACTGAGCGGAGGAAAATGTAAACGGGCTAGTTGGTGCAGCTAACTTAAACCGATGGATCGTATAAATTTTTAGTATTCGCACCAATTACATGTGAACAAAACAAATCAGCCAGAGCCAACGAAATTATTTTAGGAATTTCATTAGTTAGATTTTACAAAAGAAAGCAAAAATCCTCTTAGTTATTGTAAAGGATTCTGCTTTAGAAAGATAATCTTCCCTACATTGAACTCGAACCCATTAGTGACACATTTGCGCTTTACTTCATAATATCGTACCATCAAGCACATGCAATAAGGTTTGCTGGGCCCGTGAAGGTCAATGAATAGTCTATATATAATACGTCTAATAATTAAAATAAAATATTGTGCGTGAACTTACGTAATAATACCGTCATCCATTTCACTTCAAAAAACAGAAGCCAGAAGCCGTAAAGAGACAAAAGATGTATATGTATGAAGAAGAGCACCGCTGGCCAATCGGATTCCCGGCTCTTACTTAATTTTGACAGCTCGTCCGCATGACCACCATCTGACGTTTTTTCCCTAACGTCTGGCATGTCTGCAAAACAAAATAAGTAAAGCTGATTTTGTTCTTTTAAATTGTGAGTTTTAATTTTCACACCTTATGTTAAAATTTTTATAGAATAGGGGTGACAAACGAGCTCACAGTCCACCTGTTGGTAAGTGGTTGCTGTGGCCCATATACATCTACGTTTATCCTCAATTAAGGAATCAAAATGCAGATGCGTTGTCACCCCTGAGGAGTGAGATGGAATGCCTCGTTTCCAGTAAAAATGGTCTCCGGTTCTCTACACTAACCATACGAAACACAGCAGCATTAAGCTGCTATTTTACGTTGGTATTCTGTGAGAGCGTGGTCTTTCCCCGGTCGAGCTGACCCATTCGCACTGCAACCACCATATAGCTGCAGCATGTCTCTACCAGGTAAAAAATATAACTTGTGAAAAATTCCATGACCTGTGAATAAATTGACACTGTCTTTAAATTATGGTTTTTATTATGCCATTATTATGTATCCTCAATATTAAGTGAATGTATAATGTAAAGAGCTATGTAATTTATTCCAAACATGCTTACAGTTTCAATTGTTGCCCATTGCTCGATATTTAATGAAGACTATAAAATACGTACGCATTAATTCTTATTGCAAATTCCACTTCGATAAACACCTACCTTGCAATTAATAAGCGTTGAAATTAATACACTAATAAACAATTAAAACGACACATAATAAAACAGCTAATACATAAATAAAATTAACTTTGAATGTAATTTTTAAACAATAAGTGCGTTATATGATCACAGCGTTTGCAACGGGCAGATGTCATTGCATTAATACTATACGTATTGATTATTATGCTCTTTGATTCGTTAAAAGTACCTTCAAGTCCGAAGTGTTCGAGTTACTTGCACGGTTGCACGCAACTTCAATGGCATTGTTATTGTATTGCACCGTAATCATATAATAATACACCACACATTTAAAAATGTGATTGTTTACCTTTTTGCATTTTCATTACCCAAGGTACTTTTTTCTTTTTATTAGGTCAATTGATATATGATATACACATATTTTTTTTCTATATAGCTTAGTTCCAAAACGACTAAATATGTTGTTAAATGTACAAATATACATAACTTCAATTACTAGGTTGACCGTACTGTACTCTTGTTTGTTTGAAACTTTGGAACTTATTGGAACGAAGTTTCTTATCGCACGGTACGAATTTGGCGGATGGGGCTAGGCGAAAAAAAGTGTAAGATTTTTCCGTCACAACTTCCTTTCTATAGTGCGAGCCAGATAGATTAATATACATCTCCCTCGCCCTTTTTGTTATCTTCCCATGAAAGAAATATTATTTTAAATGACGCTTCATTTTAATAAACGCCAGTAATTCATTTATTTGTATTTGTTAAACCAATAATATAATACGTTTATCAATAATAATATACTTATACTACGAAAGGTACTTCGTTCCAACCGAGTGTTCCATGACATACACGCATTTTTTTGTTTTGAAGTTTTATTTCTTGAGACTATTGATTATATTTTATAAACGGCACCACTGCTCCAACTCAAACAGTAGTACAGATATTTTTATATTTATAAGGAGTAATTTCATCATGAAACCGATCAAGTGCATGGATGATTTCAACACCGAGAATGTCGCATTCGTTCAATATTATATTTTAATAAAACCAAGTAAAGTAGATATACACTAAGATAATATAAAAAAAGAAACTAAAGAGAAAGTTAACAATTACTTTAATTTATAAAAATATAGGCATAATTTAAGAAAAAAATTGTAGAGTACGACAATTCATTTGCCGTGTAGTAGCAGCGCAAATGAATCCATCACCTCTCTACGTCCCGGGGGTGTAGGAAACTACGGGTAACACCAGAAAAACTATTAGGTTTCGATATATGGTCTCTGGTTCTCTATACTCACCAAACGAAACACAGCAGCATTAAGCTGCTATTTTACGTTGCTATTCTGTGAGAGCGTGGTCTTTCCCCGGTCGAGCTGACCCATTCGCACTGCAACCACAATATAGCTGCAGCATGTCTCTACCACGTAAAAAATAATCAGGTGAGCCGTATGCTCGTTTGCCTCTTCTCCTATAAAAAAATTATTTTCTCGTGTAATGTTATTACGTAAATTAGAGGGTAAGTTGTTTATTAATCGGGGAACTAAATAAGTAGCTGATCGTTTGCCAAAGATGTTATTAACACGGATAGTATAAAACCAACAGTGGTAGAGCCACGCGGCAGCTTTTGCTGTCGCACGGATAGGCCGGCTCTAACCGGGGTGGTACAACGACCTCACAGAATACCAGCGTGAAGTAGAGGTTTACCTCTGCGTTTCGCTTTGTGAGTGCAGGTGGCCGGAGGCCCTTTTTACTGGAAACGAGGCATTCCATCTTAGTCCTCACAGGTGACAATGCATCTGCATTTTGATTCGCAAACCAGGATAGATGTAGATGTCTATGGGCCGCAGCAACCACTTACCATCAGGTGGACTGTGTGCTCGTTTGTCACCTTTATCCTATATAAAAAAAACAATTTTGTGCGACTGCTTGCGTGTATTTTTTTTATAGGATAAGGGTGACAAACGAGCACACAGTCCACCTGATGGTAAGTGGTTGCTGCGGCCCATAGACATCTACATCTATCCTCGTTTGCGAATCAAAATGCAGATGCGTTGCCACCCGTGAGGACTAAGATGGAATGCCTCATTTCCAGTAAAAAGGGCCTCCGGCCACCTGCACTCACCAAGCGAAACGCAGAGGTAAACCTCTACTTCACGCTGATATTCTGTGAGGTCGTGGTACCACCCCGGTTCGAGCCAGCCCATCCGTGCGACACCAAAAGCTGCCACGTGGCTCTACCACTGTTACGGAAGGTTTAATTTTTCAGTAAGTTTTTCATTAAATAATTGTTTTTCAGTAAGCTATGTTTAAATTGTGTATAAATGGCTAAAATTTTACAATGTTTAAATAATTTAACGTTAATTTAACTTTTTTTTTATTTCGCAATTGTAATCGGTGTGTTTTCGATTTAGTTTTTAGTATTGTTGCAATGCGTCAAAGGAAGTTTAAGGTTACATTTCCTATTTCGTTTTAATGACGTATACACATTTTAGACCGGCTTGTATTTTATATTAATACTAGCTGACCAGGCAGACGTTATTCTGCCATTTTCAACGACCCTTCATATAAAAAATCCTTGTATTCGTAATAAAAAATATTGAGGGTCACTTATAGGGATAAAAACTATCCTATCTCTCAAGTTGGACCAAACTGCACTGCAATCAGTTTAGTAGTTTAGGAGTTCATCGCGGACAAACAATGTGACACGTAATTTTTATATACAAAGATGACACTATTTGGCGCCGTCCTATTGCCATCGCCCGCGCGATCATGCGTACATCCGACGAAAATGATTGTGCGTCCGTGCGTTCAAACATACACATATCTGTGGAATGACCTATTGAAGATCATGCGATCATGCGATGCGACCGAATTGTCTAATTTTAGTCGTGCGATTATCGACGCATAGTATAGATCGGACGATCGTTCGATCAAACCATATATTACTCTACTCTATGGATCAAACATACTAATCAGGAATGTCCTAATGGCGCTAGCGCGACCAAGGGGCGGAGGCAAGGGAGGGGTTTTCGTAAAAATCTTCTTCGTTTTGTCGTACTTCGTAATACTGATTGTGAAATTCACCGCACTAATTTCTGTTTTTATCCAGTATATTATTTTCTTTTTTTAATGATCACTACTAAAGTAATATTGCTCGACAGCAAAAACTGTGTATCTCTGTTAAGAGCCATTTCGAGAGTAATCGCATCGCTCCAAAGTAGGACACACGATTTCTAAGCGTGTGAACGGATTCATCGGACGATCAAAACAATAAGACGGCGTCTTTAACTTAATTAAGATTTCCTTAGATCGCAGAAGAACCCAAAAACGCTCCAATCGCAAGCTTAATCGTAAGGCTATTTGACGGGAAGTAAAAATTCTGTCTTCAAAATATATGACAGTATACAGGCAACTGAATAGACATATCTACAAATGCGTGCGGAGTGACTTGTGTAACTGCAATACAATCAATGATGAAGCAATTGAGCGGCAAGGATCAGTCTTTGCTAGAGATATGTCTATCGGAAAGAGCCGAATGTTAATTTGCAGACCAAATGTTGCAGCATCATTTTCGAGACACTTTAAATTTTGAGTGAGACAGAGAGTGGTCTACCGACAGCATCGTCTTTGGAGCAACATCCAAGAAATGTCATCGTTATCAGATCGGTATATTGTCATATAAGATTTATGGCACTATACCGACCACATCGCAAACGTCAGTCTGAGAAAAAATGGCTCTCCAGCACTGCGAAAAAGGCAAATGCCCCGACAAGGATGAAATTAAAGCGGAGCTTCTTTAAGCAGGCAGAAATCGGCCCTCCATAGTGGTACTACTCCGTAGGCGTGGAGTAGAAGTTTGGTGGCATTATTCTTCAAGAAAGGCGACAATGCTCTATTGCAAAACTACAAACCACGTTTCCATCTGAGTCGCGTCTACTCTTAGCTTTCGAGTGTCATTACGAATCGTCACGCAGACTTAACGATTTCCAACCTCCAGATCAAGCTGTTTTCTAAAAAGGTTTTGGTACCAAAGACCACTACGCTCGAAGTTGTTGGCAAATATGTTTATCTAAGACAAATTGGAAAGGGTTATGCCCGGAGTTTCTCTGCTGTAATAAATTTCGTAATGAACACAATGCGGTAAAACCAAAGTAGTTAACATAGCCCAATGGATTAAAAAGGCTAAAGTAACTCTGGGCCAGACATATAGCATCGAAAAGTAAAGGAAAGAAAGATTCTCAAGACACAGACACGGAAAAAGTATTTGTATTGCTTACAAATAATTGTTTCGGTTCTGGATGTTCGTCTTTTTGTAATTTATCTTTGTAAACTGCCTCTACGATTCAGGAGAAAACCGTAGTGTTTGGGTGACGTTCTTTTAAAC